GGCGCTGACAGCGTCACCATCCATGGATGCACATTCCAGCTCACTAAGCCAGTCCAGAACCTTGGCATCTTGTTTGACCTTCAACTATTCTTTCTACCCCACATCTGTACCATGACCCGCTCTGCCTTCCCCCATCTCCACAACATTGCGTGGCTCCGACACTGTCTCACAAAGCAGGCCGCCTAAACCCTCATACATGCTTTCATTACATCGAGGCTCGACTATGCAAACTCCTTGCTTGTCAGCCTCCCCAAATCCTTCCACCATAGGCTGCAGATCATCCAGAACTCTGCATCCTGTGACCACTCTCACACCAGGCTCCGCGACCCTATCACCCCCATCCGTGCCCGACTCCACTGGCTTCCCATTACACGGAGGATACAGTTCAAGATCCTGGTCCTCACCTTCAAAGCTCTCCATGGCCTTGCTTCCTCCCTACTTCTGCCACCCCCTAACCCCGTACCAACCTGTCTGCTCCCTCCAGTCAGTGGGCTCCGGTCTGCTTAACGTCCCCCGCCTCGCCCACCCCACCATTGGTGGGAGAGTCTTCAGCTACTCTGCCACCACCCACTAGAACTCCATCCCACAATCCCTCCACTTCACCCCCTCCCTCGCCTCCTTCAAAACCTCAAGACCCTCCTCTTTGACTGTGCTTTCAATCACCCTGCTGTACCCCCTGCCCTCCACCCTCCCCAATCCCGACCCCCAGCTCAGGTCCGAAACACTAACTGTCCTGTGCCTTGGGACATCCTTCCAATGTGAAAGGCATTTTCATATTACATATGTAATTTTGTTATTGTTGTAAATAAAGTGTAAGATCATTATTATTGTTACAAAGCAATGTTGGCCCCATCAAACTCTTTAACTGCCTGTAAGAAAGTCCATAACTTTCCCTGGCAATCCATTGTGTTTGCCTGTCCTCCTCCTTCACTCAGGTAAATCAATAATCCTTTGATCCGCACACCGAGATTGAGGATGACTGCTCAGCAATCGTCCAAGCTGTTTGCTTAGCTCTCTAGCACTTGCGCTCTGTCCTATTGCTCCATTCTGATAATAACATCTCTGGCTATGTTTCAGAGATAAGCACCTGGCGCTCTCCCCCTATGCAGTGTTTCCAAATTTCTCACGTTCTCAGGCTTAAGACCCATTCATGATTTTCCTCCTTGTGGGGAGGTAAACGGTAACATGTCACCTTGGAGCTGAACTGGCTCCATGTGACATGTTTGGCAATGGAATGTCGGAATCGAGCCAACCCTGTATGGCAGTCTCTAGTCCGGTTCCTGAGCCAAGCAAGTCTGCAGTATTCCAGGGTTCATCAGCAGAAACTGAAGGGCAGATCAGTACTCGCTGGTCTCCCCAGCTCCACTATCCACAAAATTTAATGAACTCCAATTCAAATTAATTCTGCCACCTGTATACTCACCCACTCTAAATTCTGTACCCCCATCACTCCAGTCTTCGACAGACTTTAAGATCCTCTCACTCATCTACAAATACCCTCACACCCTAGCACCGATGCCTCCGCTTGGCTGGTTCCAGCCTCCTCCTTGTCCCTCATCCCCTCCGCTCCACCAATGAAGGCCACGCTTTCAGCCACTACACCCCGAAACTTTGGAAATCTTTCCCTCAAATCCTCTGCTTTCCCCCTCCTTCTTCATTTTCAAATCATGACTGAAGACCTACCTGTTCAACCGTGCTTACGATCACCTCCCTTCTTCCCTTGACTTGGTGTCAGGCTCCGCCACTGTTAAGCTCTCCAAGACACTACTCCACATGGAGGGAGCAATATAAATGCTTTGTAAATGTATAAATATATTTACAAGTTGTTGTTGTTGTTGTTGCTGGAGGAAGGGGCTCTTCCCATTCAGCTCCTGCAAACTAAATCCCTAATGGATTGGTGGGTCCTTGCTGGACAAGCAGTGGGAAAGCTTTGATATCAAAGGAAGGCTATTCAGTTTTAGCTGGTCAGACTCCAGCAGTTACCCCAACACACACTCTGGGGTCCCCAAGCCTTGGCTCTTGCCAACCTGCACCTAATACATTTTGGAATTAGGTAAACAGGATGCATCCCTCCAGTGAGAGAGAGAGAATGCATTGTATTCCAATAAACATCTCGTGAATTTCCATGTATAGAATGGATGCAGTTTGGTTTGTAGACTCTTAAGCACAAAAAGATACTGCAAAGTGAATATGTTTGTATATGTTTGTGGGTGAAACAGGGCAATCCACACACAGTAATGGATTGAGTGACCAAATTATTATTTTTATTATTTTTTGTAAGGGATTATTACCCCGGAAAAGTGACCCGTCAGTTGACTAACAACTGAATTCCTAAATTCCTACTTACTGCGAGGTAAACAGAGGTGTGTGGGGTAAGGAAACTTGCCAAACGTTTTGCCCCAACCGGGAATCGGACCCAGGTCCTCTCGCTTGCGAGGCGAGTGTTCTAACCACTACTCCACAGGACTTAACACTGGTATAAAAAGCCTTAAAGTCAAGACCCTCTTTGTAACTTGAATCCTTGGTAACGTCTGAGTTGGTTCTATGTGTTTCCAGTTGTTATGCTCCATATGTGTGCACAAGCCACTATTTGATTTGCAATCAGGTTATTTATCTTTTCGTCCCATTTATTTGCGTCAAACCGCAAGTTAAAGTGTTGTTGATGTTCGCTCATTTTCCACTAATCTCTTTGACAGTGTTTTTTTACACAATGTATCAGCAGGTAAACTCCACCCAAACCTGAATCACAACACATGTCTCCACTCGGCCTCACTGTAACTGGCACAGCGCCCCCTGGCAGGAGATGCCACAAGGGCAACTGCAAGATCGTATCCCTTGCATTCAATATAGCACCTTATCACGTCGTTGAGACGTCTCAAATATACTGTGCATAATATACATAATAAACATGATTTATTACCAATTGCACACAGTAGTGTCTCACAAACAGTTGTGGATTGAGTGACCAAATTATTTTTTTGAAAGGGATTATTACCCCAGGAAAGCAATCCGCCAAACAACTAACAACCGGGTTCCTACATACTGCTGGGTAAACAGAGGCGTGTGGAGTAAGGAAACTTGCCTAAGGTTTCGTCCCACCTAGGAATCAAACCCAGGTCCTCTCAACTGTGAGGCGAGCGTGCTATCCACTACACTACGGGACCACATTGTGGTGCTGCCAGCCCAAACTATATTGAACTGTCACGCTACCCATTCCGTGTCTCTTTAGCACGTGTTATTTTACTTTGGTGATAGTGTGTCAGCCTGGTTCAGTTGGTAGCACTCTCGCTTCTGAGTCAGAAGGTTGTGAGTTTGAGCTCACGGTTTAGGGTGAAGCTTCATGCAGTATTGAGGGGAACACTACATTGTGAAATTATTATATTATATTATATTTATTATATTATATTAATAGCCAGCCTTGCAAGTATCTGCTCGGAAGCCAATCCCAATTTGATAGGAAATCAGTGGTTAGGCAAAATTCCAGATTCCTCACCCGTTGTGAGCCTAGATTTCAGATTCATCGTCCTTTGTGAATCCAGATTCCCTATTTGTCACCCCTGGAGATTCTGGACACTGGAAGGAATTTCATGTGATATCTCAGATTGTTACATGAATTCTTACATGATATAAGTGTAAATGGTCTTTTTATCTGGGGGCATTGTTGGCCAGAACTCCAGGAGAAACTCTCTCTTTTCCGATTAGTGTTGTGGGATCTTTAACGTCAGACGTCTTATCTAGAAGTCGGCACTGCAGACAAAGTAAAGTTTCCCCAGCCACCATGCTGGAGTGTCAACTTACACTGTGAGCTCAAAAAAAAATTATTAAATTAAAATGACATCCTTGCAATTTATATAACACCTTTCACGGCAGTAGAACGCCTCAGAGCATTTCACAGTGTGTACTGTAAAATGCAGACACTGTATAATTTATAGGAAAACACAGCAGCCAATTTACTCACAGCAATGTCCCATACCCTGACTTAGAGGTGAAAGTGCTAATGACTGAGCCACGCTGGCACTCCATTACAAACTCATCAACCCCCACCCCCCATCTTCTCCATTCACTCCCTGTTTGTGACGGTGGTGGGGGGAAATGGGGTGGGGGGGGGAATGGGGGGGATAGAACTTCACCCCCCTCCAAAACAAATAAGTACACAAATATATTACCAATTGACTATTAAAGTTCTGGGTTTGAGATTCATTATACATTGTGAACATAAATAGCCTTTGTTTTCTAAAATAATAATCCTTGCATTCGAAATGGCGCATTTCACATCAGGAAATCTCAAAGCGCTTCACGGGATTTACTGCAAAGCGCAGTGACAATGCACATTTTGTGGGCGAACACAGCAGCCAATATGCACCAGGCAACATCCCGCGATCAGCGGAGTGACCGATGTCATCCTGGCTCTCGCCTCTGAGTTAAAAGGATGTGGTTTCAAGCCCCACATCGGGACTTGAACTCACATAGTCTAAGATGACACTCCAATGCAGCACTGGGGTGGTGAGGGGGCGGGGGCGGGGCAGGTTGCACTGTCAGGGGTGCCATCCTTCCAATGTGACATTAAACCCAGGTCCTGTCTGCCTGTTCAGGTGGATGTTAAAGATCCCACGGCACTATTCAAAAAGAGGAGTTTCTCTCTCCTGAAGTCCGGGCTGACAATCCCCCAAATAAAATTGGTCACTCACTTCACGGCGGTGCGCAATTGTGCTGCATTTGGCTTCACATACTCTGTGCCGCAGTAAATCTTGTATTTTGAGCTCTGGAGACTGTGCACCAATATGACCCTTTTAAAGAGATTTTGTGTATAGGTGGGGGTGGGGAGGGGGGGGGGAGGAGAGGGTTTTTCTGTGATAGCATTGAGCTTCCAAAGGGTTAAGAGCAATCCTTAACCCTATCCCACCCCCCTCCCCACCCACCCCCAGCGTTTCCTGATTTATCTGTGGGTTGTGCAATGAGGAGGTGGGTTTGTGGAGGGGGGGGGGGGGGGGAGAGAGAGA